TAACCGATTATAAATTAGTCGCTACATTGTGGCTTGCTATGTAACGAGAAGTAAAAAATTAAACATACTAGCAATCAGATGGAGTCCTTATAGTTATAATAATGTTTTGCATATCAAGTTCTACTTGAAATAACAAAAATAAAGTTATCAGTTTGTTTATTTTATTTTGTTTGTAATTCATGGATAAAATGGGAAAAGCGAAAAAAAAAAAAAAACGAAAACGATAAAACCAGCAGCACATGACTTACCGGTGTTAATCACGTGATCAATATAAATTATTTGTCAACCCATTTAGTTTTTATTGTTTAAAAAAAGTAGAGGGAATGAAGAGAATTATAGCGTAATGCTGCAGTGAAGTTTGACGTACTATATTATATATGCTACTTAGGCATATAATTCATTCCCTTTGCTTTAGCAAGAGAAGAAAACATTTGTTAATTTTAAGGTTTTAAAAAATCGTTAGCATATAAAGTAAATTTTTTTTTGGCAGTTTCCTGAAAAATGTTAAAAAGTCAGCTTCAACACCTCTAATAAGATTGTTCAGAAATTTTAAGAGCATTTAGATAAATTCTAATGTAAAAATAATATTTTTTTTACTGAAGGCATTACACCGAAATTCCTTCCTCGTAAATTTCTTTAAATATGCTTGGAGGATTTTCATAAATTTTGCCACGCTTAAAAAAAATGAATGAAAAAGTAATGAGTAGAAGTCCTCAACATCATACAAATCGAGTTACGTGACTTTGAAATTTGATATTATAGCAAAACTTATATAAATAATTTTTTTAATAATTAAAACATTACTAATCTAAGAAGATTAGGTCTCATGTTTTGAAATGAACGATTGATTATAAAATGATATAATTTTGATCGGGCGATACTTCCAAAAAGACCTTATTTCATCGTAAATAATAATATTTGGTTAATTAACTAGGATCCGCCTGTTGATAAATCGAAAACGTTCATCATTAAACTGTTATTACCGAAATTGTTAACCATAAGAATTCTAATTTCATCAGATGAAACTTGATTAACACCTCATGAAAACTGGATACTTAATTTCGGCGAAATTTCCTTTCAGATACAAAAAAAAGTCAATAAGATCTAGGGGTAGTATACAACTCTTAGATGGTATGATTCAAATTATCGACATTAGGTGATTCAATTAGTTCCCGATACCTGGTACGCGTTTTATTTGTGCTCCCCTCACTCCCTTAAATTTTTGATTCTCTTTTGAATTTGTACAGAATCTCTGCAAAATTACCAGCGAAGTACTTCCAAACCATAGGCCAAGAATCAACCTCAACTAGCTGAGGAATTCCTATAGTAAACATTCCCAAAATGTCAAAGGTGAGTTAGAGAAGCAGTCTGTATAAAACAATTCGCTCCGTGTAATAAGAAAGGGACCATCCGTATGTGGCAATTTTATTCTAATAGCTTTACCAGGGTGATGATTTAGCGTATTAATGAATTAATGATATTAAGAGCGCACAAAAAAGTTAATTATATATTACATGGTTTATTTCGATATTGTCCAAGTTGATCTAAAATTTCCAAAGTTCCGAGGTGATGCATTCCTTTTATAAAAATCTTCACCGCGCAAAGTTTAGCGATAGCCCTTCGATGGAGGGTCCGACGAGTTTAAAGGCAAAATTAGATTAGGGAAATGATGTGATGTTGTTTGAATTGATTAAGCGTATTTTTTGATTTTCCTATCGATTCACGACATTTTGCGCTTACTAATTTTTTATTAATTTATGTTTTAAGTAGAAGCGTTCAAACCAATTATTTTCGATGATTTTTCTTACTATAGCCGTGCTGATCGCCGCAAATTAAAACCCAAATTGTTTTATGAGCCATCTTTGGATCTCGTTATGTAATGAGAAATAAAAGATACGCTAATCGGTAAGTATTAAACATATTAAAATAGAATAGCCTGATTATTATTCATATAGGGAGATCCCTAAACCAATCAAAATAAGCGGTAGATTATTTTCGGTTTTCATATTTACAAGTAAAAAGACGTAACAAGAATTATTTGGCGTAAACACTAACCAAATTTTATAATGTTCTAACTATACTATCGGAATATGAAATCCATATAAAACCAAAATTGGCGTCAAATAAGTTGTGTAACATTTTTGTCTTTCAATGTAAAAGTTTAAACTGGAAATTACAACATTAGAAATTGATATAAATGTTGCATCATCCATTGGGGTAAGTGCTTGCACCATTCGTAAAAATTCATAGTCTTCTTAAATTGGATATTAATGCATGGATTATATTTTCAGCTCTCAATGCTATTTATATAGATTACTAATTTGTACCTTGTCCCCCCCCCCCCTTTTATTTGTCTCATTTTTTTTATCTCATTTTTTTTATTATTAAGATTCAATCTGTCGATCCATGAATGTGTAGCCATTCACCTTCCTTAAGGAAATAAATATTCTTTTTTTTTTATTCATGATAAAAAAAAAGTAGTTTTATTAATAAGCAAAATGACATGTCAACTACCTATTGATTGCTTGCATGAAATTTTTGAATATTTGGAAGGTAAAGTCACATTACATTCATGTTTATTAGTTAATCGTCTTTGGTGCGAAGTTTCCGTTCAAATTTTGTGGAGAAGTATTCGGAATTATCACACTTTGATTGCTTGCCTTCCTAATGAATCAAGGGAAATTTTGATCAAGAATGAGATTATGATTTTAACGACAACTTCAAATCCGCCATTATTTAATTACATATCATTTGTTAAAGAACTTCGTATAAATGAGATTGGTAAAAATATTTATAAGATTCTTAGAAATAGTCATCCCAACACCTACAACGATAAGTACACGGTCGTGATACAAGAAATATTTAAAACGTTGATGAATCAGATTTCTTTAAAAAAGATGAACTTATTTTATGGTTGGGGTTACATAAGGGATACACCGTTTATCACTTATCCTGGAGCGATGGAATGCCTGAAAAATCTATCGGAATTCAACTGTGATTCAAACATTCATTCCGAATTTTTCTATCAATTATCCCAAATCTGTAATGATTTACAATCACTGAAAATCAGGATAAATAGTTCCACCTCAGATGGATTGACGGATTTGATCACTGCTCAGCAAAATTTAAAGCATTTGACCATTATCAAATCTTATTATTGTAAAGGTATTTCAAACATGATCCCTTCAATCACAAGTCATTCTAATGGTTTGATCAAATTAAACCTTTGTGGAAATGGACATCCCATACCGTTTTCATTCATTTCCAAATTCACCAATTTACAAGAGCTCATATTAACCTTTAATTATTGGGGTTTTAAGGATTTTGAAAAGTTACAAGACGTTACCCTCTCACATTTACGCGTTTTAAAGTTTAAATACGGACTTCCCAAACATGAATATTTGAGGAATTTCTTGGAGAATAATGGAACCAACTTGGAGAAATTTTATCATCGTCTTTACGATCAGTCATTAAGCTTGGCAATTGCGAGTTTATGTTCAAATGTGAAGTCATTACGTACTGTCTTTTTTCATAATGATTTGGAGACGTTGAAAGAAATTTTGAATGGTTGCCGACGATTAGAAAGCATGAAGGTTCGGTATGACAATAGTTGTTTAAGCGAGAAAGAGTTATTGGAGGCTATTGCAATTTATTCTCCCAGGAATTTTTTTGAATTAAAAATAGATTATGATCATGGATTCCATTCAGAACTAAAGTCGGTTGATTTGGAATCTTTCTTCAAAAGGTGGACAAATCGCGTACCACAAAAACCGATATCTTTAATTCTTATTAATAAATATCATGCGAATAGTTTAGCTGACAAAAAGGAAAACATGAGTATAATTGAGACTTATACTAAGTTAGGAGTTATTAAGAAATTTGAAGTTAAGAAATTAGAATTTCATAACTCAATTAATTATAAAAAAATAAATCTTTAGTAAACTTTAATTGGTGGCTCATATTTTCGATTTAAATTTCACCCATGACGAAAATCACGTGAATAAAATTATAATTGGATTATATACAAGATATGAATCTTTATTTAAGGTCAGTTTCGTTCTTTTCCCTTCCCTCCTGCAGAGACTCTATAATGATTTACCACATGGTGAGAATATATATGTTAAACGAATGATACAGTTTTAACATGAAGATTGCATAATATAATAAATTTAATAAACTATCGCTATAGCATTGTAACTAATTTCGATTATGTGCAGGTTTCACAAGATGAAACACAATCCCGTGGCTTTCAAGATAACAAAAATTGAGCTTAGGCATACTAAGCCTCCGCTAAAAATTTGTTGACACCATATATTGTGGCTTCGACAAATTTTTATTTGAAAATAGAAAATTAAAAAAAAAATAAACATATTAATTTTATCGAAAAATTAGTTCAATTATTGTATATTCCAACTATATTTCTTTACAAGAGTTTGAATGTATTTTACTATTAATAAATTGTTATTCATCGCAAAAAACATTCTTAATAATCTTTTTTTTTTGAAATGCAACAACCCTGCTACTATATTGAATTATTTTTAAAAAAGATTTCACTTTTTTTATTTTTGCAAAAACCTATTGAAATTTTTTTTTTTTAAAAAAAAAAAATAAATCATTCTCATTTTTTCTCTATTAAAAGTGAAAAATATTATTTTTTTTTAAAAAAAAAATATTGTAATAATAACAATTAAACAATAAAAAATGTTTAATAATTTGTATTATTATATATTAATTATATTCTTTTTTATTCTCTTCTAGTTTCATAAAATATTAAAAAAAGATTATTCTCATAAGATAAAAATAGTCTAAATCAGACATTGGAACTTGAATTTAAAATATAAGTTAAAAAATAAGGTATATTATTTATTTTGATTTTGAATTTCTTTTTAAAACTATGACAAGTTTTTTAAAATACAAAAAAAAATTCTGTTAAGTCACATTTAAACCAAAAAATATGTAATATAAAAATATTCTAAAAATTATATATTCTTTTACGCAAATATTCTTTTGATCATCTAAGAAAAATTAGATTTAAATTAACGATACAATATTAGAAAAATTTTTTAATATAATCTTTTTACTATAGCAGATAATTTAAGATTAAATTAGAAAAAAAATCCTAATCTTAATATCAATAAACATATAATATATTATGTATTCAAAAATCTTATATATTTTTATTCTTTTAAGTAAAGTTTCTCTTTTGACAAAAAGAAAAGAATTTCTTATTTTATACATATGATTATTTGTATTATAATTAAAAAAGTTATTTTTTCTAATAAAATAACATTTTAGATATTTAAAAATATTATATATATATAGTCTTATTTTGTATAACCAATTATCCCTATAGTAAAGTACCTATTTAAAATTTATATTTAAATAGTAATTAATGTTAAATGAAAAATCAGCATTCATTTTATAAAAATTTGAATCATCATTTATATTAAAAACTATTAATAATCATCTGTATAACAAACATGAATATGTTATAAATTACAGCTAAATCTTCTAATAAGATAATAATCTAAAATAAATTTTTACAAGATGTTTAAAAAAACTTGAAAAAATATCTTCTAGACAAATTTTTCTTTTTTTGACTTATATATAGCCTAAAACTTGAACCTTATTAAAAATATAAGCTAAATTAAAAGAAAAAGTAAAGAAAATGATTAAATATTTAATAATAAAAAAATATTATCTGTAATATATTTTTTAATACAATCTAATAAAAATAAGACGAATTTAATGATATTATTATATTATTTTAGTATATTAAAAATATATCAAATTAAATTAAAACATATATTGATATAAAAGAAAAATATACTAAATATTAATTAAATAATAAAAAAGTTATCATAAGTATAAGTTTTATAAATAATAAAAATATTTACATTAAAAATAAAGTTTATATATATTATTAAAATATATTTCTATCATTTTTTTATTATAAACTGCATTATAAATACTATAAAAATAGTAAAATCACTTTTTACTTTTTAAACCTTTTTATATATAAATCTACAGTTAACTCTTGTTATAACGAACTCTATGTTCTAGAACTCAACTTCGCTATAAGGCTATAGTGAAGATTTTAAGAGATTTGATTGGCTAATTCATTATAACAAGAGTATTTTTATTATATTTATTCAAAAAATTCGTTATATCAAGAGTTCGCTATATCAAGAGTTAATTGTATTTATTTAATTATTTTATATTTTACCTTTTATTTATATTTATATTATATCTTAATTCAAAGTTTTATTAGAAAAAATTTATAGAATTTTAAATAAATTTAGTCATAAATTTTATTTGAAAAATAAAATAAATTTGAAGTATAATTGATTAGTAATTAAGTTATTAATTTATAAGTAATTACAATCCTTTAAGTAAAATAATTAAACAAGTACTTGTCATTAAAACTTCAATTTAAAAAATCAATATTAGGATGTAAAAGACAAGTATAGTCAACTTTTTTTATAATGATTTTAATATAATAAATTTCATATTATAATGAATCTTTAGTATTATACAGATTTTTCATATAAAAAAATCTTATTATATCAAATTATACTAGATAAATACTACATAATATTTAATGAATTATAGTTTATTAATATAGCATAACTAATAATTTGCAATAATAATAATGTAACTCCAGTCTTTGAAATGATAAATCATATAACTAAATTTTAATAGGTAATTATGGAAGGTACAGAAAAACTCTCAAAGTTTTACAAGAAATCCTGAGAAAATGCAATATTAGAAAAGTTAATATAAATGATTTAATAAATAATTACATAAAAGAGAGAAAAAGAAAAAAAAAGAAAGAGCATATAAATAATTCTTTTTATAATAAATTTACTTATATTAAATTTTTTTAATATAACAAAGATTTTTTTTAAGATATTAAAAATTAAGAATAAATTATTTTGACTATAAAAGATAATTTAACATTTATTTTTTTTCAAATATAGTAAATATATATATATTCTTTAATATTAAATAAATTAAGAAAAATGGATTTTTATATTCATATTTCACATTTGTACATTATGTTTCATTTTACTTTTCTAATATTTTTTTTTTGAAAAAATCAAGTAATTTTTTTATCACATAATTTTTTTAAAATACCAAAAGCAAAGTCAATTTTATTTTTACCTATAGTTTTTAGAAAACGTAAATTTCTTACTATAGTATAAAAAAAATTTTTTTCATATTTTTTAAAAAACAAAGACTTAGCTAATGAGTTTGATATTAGTAAAAGAATAATTTGATATATTTTAAAAGCAAAAGACTATTACTTATTAGAAATCTTAATTCATATTAAGCTGATTTAAAACATAAAAATAAATCATATTTTTTTAATATTAAAAAAGCATTACCTATTTAGGTAGAAAATATCATCCAAGTTGACTTCATTATAATTGATAATATTTTTTCAACTAAAGCTTTAAAGTTTGGCTTTTTATTTAAAGAAAATAAATTTAAAGATTCCAATAGGTAGATCAATAACTTTAAAAAATGACATAATTTAAAATAATATAATATATATAGTAAAGCTACAAGTATGTTGCTTTAAAATCTTGATACAATGCAAAAAGGTCTTTGTCAAACTTTAAAAAATTATAATTCTGAAGATATTTTTAATTTTGATAAAATAGAGTTATTTTAGAAAATGAAAATTAGTCATATAATATCAAATAAGTATGTATTAAAAAAAAATAATCAAAGAATTATATGTTTATTTTTCTTATTTATAACGTAATTAAAAATAAAAAATTACTTTCTTTATTTATATATAAGTATGAAAATATCCAGACTCTTAAAATTTTAATAAAAAGAAACTTCCAGTAGATTATTACTAAAATCTAAAAAGTTAAATGCAGGTATATATCAATTTGAAATGAATATATTAAAAAACTTAATAATCAAATGAAAAGATAAAATTAAAAAATTCTTCTTTTTATTAATAATGTTTTTACATATGCTCTTTATGAATCTACTTTCTAACTAATATCACTATTAAATACTTATTCTAAATACTATAATATATTTTTAATCTTGTGATTAAAAAATAATTAATAGTTTTAAGGTAAGAATTATAATTAATTAAAATATTATTATACTTTATATTTTATTCATATTTTAATTCAATTTTAATTTATTTTAGGTATAATATTAAAAGTTATATCTATAAAATCAAGTTAAAGCATTTGACAATTTTAATAAATTTGGATTAAACCTGAGAAAATTAATATTAAAAATGTATAAAATACATTTCAAAGATATAGAATAACATTTCAGCTTAATAATAATAATAAGAAAAGTGAAATCAAACTTGAGCTTAAACATTTTAAAAAGTTAAAAGAAATTCAAGTTTTAGTCAATAAACTTAATTTTAACAACCTTTTAACTGCAAAAGAATTCATTTAATTTGATAAGTTTAAAATTATAGATAAAATAATATCTGATGAAAAAATTTTAAAAGCAGTTTTACCTAATTAAGAAAATAAAAGAGAAAAAGATTTAATAATTACTTATAGGAAAGTTATTAAGGCTTAATAAAGTAATTTTATATTTAGAGTAACAAAAAAATACTTTTAATATGAAAAAGAAGAGTTAAGATTTATTAAATAGTTTAGAAAAGAAGTTTTAAAATAATAGTTTGTCTCTTAAAACAACTAATCTTAATAATTTTATTACTATAATTGAATAATAAGTTAAAAGTTATATAATAACATTTACAGTTTTATTTTTTCTTACTTTTTATAAAATAAAATGTCATTATAATTACAAGAAATTTTGATATATTAACTAAATAATACTCTCTGTAATTCTGTTAAAATTTTATTAAAATTTTGTTGAAATTTTATTGAGAAATCATATTGTTTTTTATTAATTTTTAATCAATTTTTGTTGAATTTGTGTTGCT